AGGGCCCTAGAGGAGTTGTTGTGTGGCCCTGCTGGGGTCAAGGCGAGACTTAGCACCTTCCTGCTCTCTGGGTCCTCACACGAGCTCCAGCCACGCTGCTCAGGGACACGCCTCCTCCTGGCTCACTTGCAAGAGGTGTGGGCAGCTCGGGAGGGCCGCAGAGTGACCAGCATGACCTGGTGGAGAGTGGGGCAGGCCACAGAGCCACCTACAGTGGGGAGCTCCATGGATAGTCAGCAACAGGTAGCCGCTTACAAGTGGACACTGGAGGGAAGAGGCAGGCACGGGGTGGGGCGGGGGGTGGTGGCAAAGGGACAGCTCAGAGCTGGGAAAGCCAGGGCCTAGACCAGCAGTCTGTTGTGGAGCCAGAGGAGCCACAGACTAGATACGAGGAGGAGAGAGGCGGATGGGGCATCCTGCAGACAGTGCCACATCCCACTACCTCTGCCCATGAAGCCCCGGGAGCCTGCAGGATGCCTGTGAAACACTGGCTGCCCTGGGTGGCCACAGTCAGGGCAGCTACTCAGCACCTCTCCTCAAAGGTGGCCTTCACCCCATTATCACGCAAGAAGACTGAGCCCCACTACAATGAAGGAGGTGCCCGAGCAGGTGCAGTCATAGAAACGGGCCTCTCAGTTCCGGGGCTCCATGCCCGCCCAGAATGAATTCTTCCCCTTCTCTCTCAGGACAGTTTCCCTGGTACTGTTGATCCCACTGTAAATGAGCCAGTGTTCAGAGCCTTCCCCAAAGCAAGGACTCAAAGAGTATTTTCTGGTTTTAATTAGCTTTATTTGATTTTAAAAGCCCCATAATATGCTTGGTGCCCAGGGGCCTCATGATCCGAACAGGTTATTCAGATCGCTTTCAGCACGGCTCAGTCGCAGTCTTCCCATGTGGGCCATCGTGCGGGCAACCTTGATGTTCAGATGCAGTTTGCGGCCCACAGGAATATTTACCTGGGATCCCACAGGGCTACCCTCTTCCAGCTTCTTCTTGCCTTTGCTCCAACCCACTGTGCCCTTGCAGCTGCCTGGGATGGGCCGCACCCCAGGGCAGGCGTGTGGTCAGTCTGCGCACCTGCAGTGGCACCGAAAGCGTTCTTTGCTGAGCCTGACCATGACGCTGCCACCTGCTAGGCCCACCTGGACAAGCAAATGGGGCTTCGAGCCTGTCTGTGCAGTGGGCAGGGTGGGGAAGGAAGCGGTCTTGTTTACTTGGGATACTCTCTGGTTCTGATCAGGGCCTTGTGGCCTCAGTGTAGCACAGACCCATCTACCCACAGGCCCTGGACACCTTGGTGAGTCCCCTCCTGCTGGGACACTCCAGGGGCTCTTCCTGTACTGCTGGACTGGACAAGCCCTGAGGCCCAGCAGCCCCTGCTCCACAGCCCACTGCGTTGCTTGTAGATCAGTTCTTGCTCGAATATCACAGCCCAGGCATTGTGCCTGATACCTGGGTCCAGAGTGTAGGGCACTCTGCCCTTAGAGAGACACTGGAAAGGGGAGTGGCAGAAGCGAACAGGTAAATAATTAAGTAAACTGACCTGAGGAATGTGTGAAGTGCAACATCCAAAGGCCAAGCTGACATTCTGTGCGAGCTGGGAAAGCGGGGGCTATTTGCACTGGATCTTGAGGGATGCATAGGAGTTTACCCTTGGCAACAGGGACAGGCTTGCGATACAGATCTAGGCTGTTTGTCAGTGTTGTATCTCAATGTTTATAAACTCTGGCAGGCACGCACTGAGTCGCAAGGGAAGATGGTCATGGTGCTGGCTTCTTTGCTCTTGGAGAAGCCAGAGATGTTGAGGCCCTAGCCATGGCCTGCCTGGCTTATGCTAAACGTGTTTGTGGCCATTTCTCAGAGGGTTGACACTTCCAAGGCGGCTTCCTGTGACAGACTGGCATCTGTCGAGTGGCAGAACCACCGGGAGGGGAAGGAGGCAGAGGTGGATCTGCAGCTGCCAGCCCAAGTGCCCTGGGGAGATGGCAGGATGCGTGTGGCAGACAGCTGGTGTGGGGAGGAGCCTCTTCCAGGGTGCTCTTTAGGGGAAGTAGGGAGATGACCGGGGTGGGGGACTTAAGCATACATTCCTTAAGTTCCCAGAGGAGAGAGGAGAGGGAGAGATTGGGGGTGGCCCAAAGATGACATTGGGGCTCAGAGAAGGTCCAGGGCTGCAGTAAGGGACGGAAAGCATGGAAGGGGCAGAGCCCAGGGTTGGGGTGCCGGGAGCAGTGGTCTTGGTAGCAGCCCTTCTGCCCCTTCCCCCAGCTGGCTGCCTTCTCCCTCTGAGAGCATCTGAGTCACTGGGAAAGGGGACCCTGTCCTCTCTTCTTGAGGGTGTCCTCCACCCCACCTGCAGGCCTGTGTCCAAGAGCAGGGCCTTCTTCACCCCCAGGCCCTGTACCCCTGGGCCCTTCCTGCTGAGTGTTCACTGGGTGCCTGGTGCTGTGCCTTCCACCTCCTGTGTCACTGCAGCTGTGTGGCCTGGTGCTTCCATTCCACACTCATCCCCAGGCCCCTAGTTGTGCCCTCTTCCTTCCTCAGCAGCGCTGCGTGGCCTCGGCCCCCTGGCTCTGGCTGTCTTGCCTGTGTTCCCTGCCCCGCCTTCCCCAGACTGCTGCCTGCCCAGACCCAGCCTGATGCTGCAGGGGCTCTCTGGAGCCTTCTGCAGAGGAGAAAGGGGCTGCCTGACCCAGGGAGGGGAGAGGGGTTGGCTGGAGGGGTCCCCCGACCCATCCGCCTGCCGTCAGGCTCTTGGTGGTATGGTGCGTGGATGCCGTGTGCTGGGGAACAGCTCTGGCTTGCACCCTCTACTCCTGTACCTGTCTGAGTCCGGCCAGCAGCCGGGAGCCTGCGGTGCTGGTGGAAAGCTGCACTTGGGTCTCCTCCCTGCCCTGGGGGCGGGCTCACCATGGCAGTGTCATACAGGCATCATGAGCTCGCCATAGATGTGCAGTCTGTTGAACTTCCCACTGAGGGTCTGCCCTGCAGTGTGAGGTCGGGTCCTGGCGCAGGGAGGCCCAGACTCCCCGCTCCCTTCAGGGCCTGGTCCAGAACACGCAGTGGAGGCCTGCCAGGTCAGCCCTGCAGCTGCTGTGCCCTCTAGGGATCAGAGAGCGACAGATGGCAGCTCAGGACTCATTTCCGGAAGCTCTCACCTCTTGTGAGTAAGAAGTCCTGAAAACAGCCACACGGTGGCCCCAGGAAGCCCTTATGCTTGGTCATATGGATGGGGAAACTGAGGCTCAGAGAGCTGTGTCACCCCTTCTAACCAGGAAGTGACTGACAAGGACTGAAGCCAGAACAGGCAAAAAGCCCATGGTGTTTGCCCTCACCTCAGTCTCCCAAGTTAATGTCATATGTTAAAAACAATAATCCTTTGTTTATATTATTCTTAAAAAAACATTTTGAGAATGTAACCAATGCACATGGTGAAAAAAGTCAAGCAGAACAAGAGAATGCAGAGTGAATAGTGGGCATCTCCCCACCCGAATCTCCTGAGACAGCCCCTGTCCCTTTAGAAAGTGAAGACGCAGTTCAGCGGCCGTCCAAGCACAATCACTGATCATAAGACCTGAGCCATTAAGAAAATGTTCCATTAGATTTAGTGTAATTATTTCTCTTTCCGCGGAATTGAACAGTACCCTTTTACAAAGACTTACCTCCACGAAGGACCAGAGATAAAACGGTGTTTGTGTGTAAGACACTCCTCTTCTGCTACGCAGAGACCTTGGCCTGGACGCCTGTGTGGGTTTCTCAGGCTGTTCAGGCCGAGGAGGCTGTCTGGGAGCAGAGGCTGTTCCTGTAGGGGAGGCAGGACACTTTGCAGGTGCAGACACAGGAGGGTGTGCGTGCTCAGGTTTGCACTGGTGGGTGCCCGCCTGGTGGTGGGCTTCCTCTAAGCCCCCCTTTCTCCTAGCCTCAGCCTGAGAGCATCCTCTGGCCCTTCTGTCTGGACTCAGACCCTTCATGTGACATTTCCTGCCCAGGCCCCTTGCTTCATGTGTGCTGTTCTTAGAAAACGATCTGAAAGCAAATCAAGTCAACTGTGGTGACAGTCAGATTCTGCGGGGCTCTCGGTGGGCACCGGCTCCTCCCCTCCTGCCTCACGGGCTCTGTGGCTTCCCTTGGGTGGCACTGACTCCTTCCGGGTGCCCTCTGCAGGCCAGGCTTTGTGGGGCGCATTCAGGTTCTCTCTCGATGGTCTCAGCAGCCTTAACCCGATTCCTTCCTTGTGTCTCTTGGGCTGTGGGTCATAGTTGGTGCTGGTCCGCTCCCTCTGTCCCCCATCCCTCCTCCCCTCTCCCCACCCCCAGACTGTCAATTCATGAATGGTCCTTGACCCCCACCCTGGGCCTCCATGGCCTCTGCGATGACTCCTGGATGGTGGAGGCTCTTGGGGCCCTCTCCTCCAGCTTTGCAGTTTAATGATGATGTTTCTCCCTCCCTGCAAAACCTTCTGTGAGCCCCCGTGTCCGACTGCACCAAATCCCAATGTAACTGCCTTCTGGAGCTGGGCCTTCCAGACAAGGCCAGCTTCATTTCCCCCTGGGGAGGACTCAGCAGGGCCTCATGGATGTGGTGCACAGCCCCCGAGGGTGCCTGCTGAGAAGCCCCTGGACATGGACTCTTGGTCCAGTCAACCCACAAGGATGCAGACCTGTGGGTCAGACAGGAGCTGAACAGGGCCCCTCTGCCACCCTCACTAGGACCTGACTGATCCTCCTTCTCTGCACAACCCCCCAGGGCGTGCCATCTGCCAGGGCTCTGCCAGCCATCAGGAAGCCAGCCTCTGTCCTGATGGTGTTGAGCAGGGCCAGCTGAGCATGGCCTGTGAGGGACACCCCTTCCTCACCGTTTCTGACTCACAGCCATCTGCCCAAGGCTGGGCCGGTGACTGATGCTTAATGGGGAGTGTTTATGGGGAGATTAATCAGCTTTCTCTCTTTCTCCTTGTCTGTCTCTGTCTCTGTCTCTCGCTCCCCCGTTTTCCTCCCCAGGGGGGCTTTCTCTGTGGTCCGACGCTGTGTCAAGCTCTGCACCGGCCACGAGTATGCAGCCAAGATCATCAACACCAAGAAGCTGTCGGCCAGAGGTAGGGCATGGGGAGTGTCCGGCGAAGCTGCTGTCAGGCCGGGGCAGGGGCTTTGGAGGCAAGCCCTGTGGACTGGGCGGCAGGCCCCTCCCAGGCTCGGCCGGCACTTGGCCCATCTGGCCTGTGGCTCCAACACATGCAGTGGGGTTCCTGGAGTGGAGGCTGTGGCAGAGGGAGGCACAGGAGTGTTGGGGACTTGAGGGCACCTCTGGCCTGGTGGGGCCTGGGCTGGTTGGGGTGCCGAGAGACCCTCAGACCCCTGGATGTACCTTTGCGCTCTGGTTAGGGTGTTCTCAGGGCCCCACTTCATCTCCCCTTCCCAAGTGTACTGGGGTCTCTGCCCCCAGAGCTGGAGGGGGAGAAGTTCAAGGTGGCCAGCCCTCCATGGTGGTTGGGTGATGTGATCTGCCCTGAGAGCTGTGCGCCGGATGACAGCTCAGTGACAGTTTTGGGTGACCGGGCAATGCTGCGATTGGCCATCTGCCTTCTGACAGTAGAGACCTGGTGTCGTGGCCTACTGGGAGGTGATCCGGCAGTTTCTTAACTAACAGAGCCCGAGTCTTCTACACAGTGGCAGGGCACTCCCGCCTGCCCTGGGAGGGCTTCTCAGATGTGCAGGGTGTGTGCGAGGAAGGGCCTCGCCTGGTGCTGGCCCCAGGTGGCCCTCAGCATGTGGATGTGCCGTATCACGGGCCTTCCGAGCCCTGCTGGCGATGGTCAGCTCTGGGTGCTGCAGGTGGCGATGGATCAGACGGTACCCTGCCTTCCCAGGGTTTCCCTGCCCTTGTCCTGTGCGGCAGGTCAAGGACAAATAAAACCCAAAGTCAGCACACAGCAAATCCGATGGTGACGGTCAGAGGCCGCCTGGGGCAGCTTCTGTGGCTGGAGTGCAGATCTGAGGAGGCAGTGGGAAGGGACTAGGGCAGGGGTCCTGCTGGAGCCCCAAGGTAGGGTGTGCCAGGGCACCCAGAGGGGCTGTGGAGGTGGGTGTGGGGCGGGTGCCTGCCTTACTGAGGTGGCAGCCCCCTGTCACTGCCCATGCAGTGGGGTCCGTGGAGGAGGGGCCGGGTGATGTCCTGGTGGAGGAGCCAAGTGAAGCCCCTGTCTGCCACTCTCAGCCCCTCCCATCCTGGGGCACAAATCTGAGCTAATCAGGAGCTGGAGAGGCCCGGACCCATCTGGCGAGGCCACCAGATGCTGAGGCCAAATGTGGGCAGACAGGCGTCCCCCAGGTTGGTGAGAGAGTTGCCTGCTGTCTGTGGCCTGCAGTGTACAGTGATCCAGCCACCTGTGAGGGTGGGCCTGTGCGATTTGTGGAGTGATGTGTCAGCATTGTTTGAGCACCTGCTATGTACTAGGCCATCTGTGTTTCCCCTTCTTGGGAGCATTTTCTGACACCAGGCTATGGGGAGGTCCTTTAGGCTGCAGTGGGAACTGCTCCTGTCCCAGCCCTTGTGCACCTCCTCATCACTGACCCACGAAGGGGCTTGGCAGTGCCCAGGGCTAGGTCAGTCCCTGTGTGGGCCTCCTAGCCCACAAGGGGCTATGGGAGGGTGGCGCTGCAGAGGGCCCAGCAGGGACACTGAGAAGTGGGCTGGGGCAGGTCCAGAGGTATGAGCTCCCAAACATTCTCCACAAGGTGCGGGGCCTCGGTGGCCCCTCTGCCCTGTGACTCCACACAGCTGGACATGGGCTGCCTGCTGGTCAGCCTTGTTGGCCCCCTGGGCGCCCAGCCCGTGTTCCAGGACCTAGGGCAGCCAGCTTGTTTTTTCTTGATCAAGACACAGAACTGCTCATAAGTGGGCAATGCTCAGGTATGGCTGCGGCCAGTACCTGTGGGTCTCCTGGGGACATCCCTGAGGCCGGGACACTCCTGCCTGTCACAGGGTGCCACAGAGAGGAAGTCTTCACACACGTGTCTGTGCACACATGCATGGGTATGAGCCTGATGGATCCTGCGGAGTGGAGCTCTGGCCCTCAGGCAGTGAGGCTGGGACCAGCCCAGGCTGAGCTGGGGGAATGAGAGGAACTCCAGGTTCCTGCTTGGGAAGATGCTTTGGGTACCCCAGAGGCCTGGAGTGAGGCAGGTGGGGGTCCTGGAGTTGGCCCTTGGCTGGGAGAGCAGTGGGCAGAGGTGAGGGCCACTTGCTCCGAGGGTCAGCTTCAGTGAGCTCCGGGGTGTTGGGAGGAGCAGGTGGGAGGAGGAAGTAGTGGCCTCTGGAACCAGGATTTCAGTCCAGACTCAGGAGGGATGTCCTGGAAGGCTCCAGGGACTGAGCCATGTGACTGGGGCAAGAGGGGACACCAGGCCAAGTGTGTCATTGTGGGTGGGACCAAGGGTGATTGAGGTGCTGGGGGTGCAGATGTCACCGGGAGCAGAGGGCAGGGAGCTGCTGATGCCAAGAGGCCTGGCCAGGGTCCTGAGGAGTCTGTGAAGTGCACAGACCATGAGTGGGCTGCCCTCTGCTCTCCTCTAAACCTGTGCCTCTGGGAGTCGTGGCTCATTGTGGTTGTCTGCAGTGACCAACTTTTCCCTGTGACCACCCAGGGACTGCTGCAGGCTTGAGCCTGGGCACGGGGATGGTCAAGTGTGGGCCACAGCCTGCTGTCCTCCTGGCCCCAGGGAGAAGCTCATTTGTCTCGTGGTCGCCCTATCGTGGATGAAGACCCACGGGTGTCTGGCGGCCTCGCTGGACCCTGAGTCCTGGCACTGCCCAGTGCAGCCTTTCCCTAGCAGGCTTGAAACTCAGACCTGAAGAGACACCAGGCCCGGCTCGGGTCCCGCGGCTACACTGTGTTGACAGCAACCATACCAAAGCCAGCGCCGCCTGCGTGCTTGCCATGCGCACTGCGCGGAGCGCGGGGGCTTCTGTGTTCCCTGACATTCTGTGGCTGGTACTGGTGGAGGCACTAGTATGAAATGTTCTGGGGTGGTAGTGGGGGGAGTATCACCCAGCCCAAAGGTGGGGTCCCTAAGCCAGGAAGAGCAGGCACCTCACACACCTCACCTTGGAGCCTCCCGGGCACTCCCCAACCCTCATCCCTCTCCTGATGTGATGCTGGTCCCTGCCTCGGTTCTCTGTGGTTTTGCCACATGGGCGTTTCACCCGCTTGCGTCTGTGCCTGAAAGTGGAGTCTCGAGGCCACTGTGACCTGCCTTGTGCTCAGGCGATGTTCTGGGGCGTGTCCGTGGGCTGGGTCCCTTCCCACTGCTGTGCGACGTTCTGTTGAAGGAAGGCTGCTACTTTTCTGGCTCTAGCTAATTCCCGACGACGTTGGCAGACCCACTGGGACCCCGCCCTCGGGAGAGGCTCCGTGACATGTGTCAGTGAATTCAGTTTGGCAAAAATGTTGCTTGCTGGTCAACTTGGTGTTGTAAAAGCCTGTGAAATTTATTAGTGTGGGAAACCAGAAGCCACAGCTAGCTGTCTCCCTCCTGCTTTTCCATCTGTCTCTGAAGGTCAGCCACCCCCACCCACCTTGTGCCTTTCCTTATCAGGGGTCCCAAAGCCTTGTCCACACAGACCCACAGCCCCGACGTGTGCTTCCCAGGGCCAACAGCACCGCCTCGGGCCCTGCGGCCTTGTGTCCTGCCCATGCAGTGGGCTTGACACACATTTGCAGGCAGCGTGGGCCCTCTCTCCACAAATTGAGTCCCATGGGGCTTTCCCTCCCTCCTGGATGCTGGATCCACGCCTCTGGGCACATGCAGGGCAGCACTGTGCTGCTGGCTTCTCCTCCGGGGTAACTTCGACCCTCTTTCTCCTCAGCCAGGGACCGTGGGGCATGTCACACCCAGGGCTTCCTGGCCCCTCTGCACATTCTGTCTCATTCCTCAATCGTTGGGGACCTGGGGAGGAGGAGAGGGGAACCCCTTCAGACATGCCCTAGATGTAGATACTCACTCATCTAACAGGTTTCCACTGAGGACACAGAGATGAGCAGATACACCCTGAAACCAGCCGCGACGATGCCGTGTGCCAGGTGGGGCCCGGGAGAGGCAGTCCTGCGGGGTCAGAGAAAGTCACTCTAAAAGCTGTGTTGCATGGGTGTTGAAGGATGAGTAGGAGTTTGTTAGGCTCAAGCAAAAAACCACCTGAATATGTTTTTGTGGAATTACATAGCTCCTCTAAATTAACCTCACACCCCCTATTTATATTCTCAAAGTGCTCTAGAGTCCAAAAGGTTTAGGGTAGCGGGAATCTGAGCGAGAGGATGGCTGCGCCCTGGAGTCCTGCTGACCGCGCAGGCCGCAGAGCCGGGCTGCCTTGTGTTGTGGTGGATGCCCCGTGGCTCATCAGAGGCCCTGCTCCCACGTGCTTGCACCTCTCAAGCCGCACACCTGGCCTGTTGCCAGGAGGGAGGAAGGGGCAGCCTGCTGGGGGGCTGCCTGGTGTTCTCAGCAGCCAGGCCCCTGCTGTGAGTTTCCCGCAGGATGTCTCTCTGGGCAGTGGCAGAGATGCCCAGCAGTGTGTGGCTTCGGAGGGCAGGCCGATGTCTTCCTGCTTTGCCTCGAGTTGTACACAGGCCCTCCGCCCAGGGCTGCTCAGCCTTGCCCTTCCATTTCCTTGAGCATGTTTTTTCCTGTTTAACTTTTACATTCCCAAATACAAAGAAAATGCTAGAACGAACCCAGCTTCAAAGTTATCAATTCTCAGCCAGTCTTGTTCCATCTGGGCCCTAGACCCCGGGCCGTTTACCATTCAGTGCATACATATCTCAGCATCCGTAGCAGAAAGGGTTCCCAAAACAGCCAGAGGAGCTTCATCCTCTGAAAAACGGGCAGTCACTCCTCGATATCATCTCATATGCGGCCTGCGTTTGTTTCTAATGATTCAGAGGTTTCCTCAGAGTTGAATCACTGGGTCACACAGTCCCTGCGCGACTGGGTCGTCTGCCCTCGGTCCAGAGTCCTGCTCCAAGGTGTGCAGGTCACAGCCCAGGGACCCCACTGTGGCCGCACAGCCTAGATCATGGCGGGGACTCAGAACTCTTGAGGA